AAAAAAAAAAAAAAAAAAAAAAAACGAGACGCAAAATTTCTTTTTTTTTTTTATTTTTAAAAATCTTCATTTCATCCTCTTTCGGTATGCCAACAAAGCTCTAAAAATTTCCTAAGTAAAAACAGAAAAGAGTTAAAAACAAAATCAAAGAAATTTATTATTCTTATACACATTTGCCAGTGTGCTAGTCTTAGGTTACATACTAATCATTAGTTAAGTTCAGGTTTTTGGTTAATATACCAATGCAGCACAGACGATCAACTAGCCAAACAACGTTCCTACGAAAGAAGTGCAGATCCTGTAAACAACACTGCCCTTCATCGTCCCCCCACTACTCTCTTAAAACTGAATCTGAAGTTCAGCAAGTTTCACTTTTTTGATAAGCATATTATGAAAACTACTCTAACCGGAGAAATCTGCTTATCGACGCCAACAATTGCTATACTGAACTAAACTTCAGCCCTACACAAGGCATTTAACAATATCAACGACATCGAGTTTAAATTCTTGTTCTGCTTTTACCCACTTCTCTCCACCAAAAAACTGCTCAAACATCGATAAATTTTATATCATAAATGTTGCTTTCTTCCCTCTTTTTATGCTCCACGATAATACCTAATTTAAATATTAAAAAAATACTTCGATAAAATAGTTTATTTATAAAAATAAATAATTTTTCAAAATTCATTTCTGCTTTCCAAAAAAATTAAGCTTATAAAAAATATAGTCAGTGATTTCTGATTCATATGAAAATCTCTCACAGCGAGAATACTCAGTCAAAAACGACTTCAACAACAACTTTAATTTCATAAAATAATGCTTCACAGTCGAAAAACAAATACAACTTAATCTCCCGTTTCATTTCTATAAATACAATCATTTCAAGTTGCGTCCTTCACTCATTACTAGAACAATCTTTTTTTAATAGATTTAGAAAGGAATCTATTATAGAAGCTGGAATGAAACTGACTGGACTTGAGGGCGAGTAAACTTCCGCATTTTGGAAGGAATATTCAGTACGATTGTTCGTGTACCACCGGTCAACCTCCTCTGAAGCAACCAATAGTTCTGTGACCAGTGGATTCTCCTTGATCAAGGCTACAACATCCTAAAACCTCACAGTTCAGCCTCATACTTCCAAGAATAAAAAGAAACCACATGTTTCATCCTTCTTTTCACCTCCCCACCTCTCTTCATTTCTGGTCCGCCTGACTAAAAGACTGAAAATAAAACAATTGAATCATTTGCCTCTAAATTCTTTTTTACTTTATTTGCTTTTTACCCTATCGTCTATACACGTCTACAAAAACTTCCAAGATAGCTACGAGTGACGCCTACTAAAGACTAATAAGAAATGGAGTGCGATTTAAAGATCGGATTCATTTTGAGTTTAGAAATTCACCTACTGATCCAAATATAACTGCAAAACCATTTCTAAACAAATTAAGGTTAATTGACTACCGTCACCCAGTGCTAAAAATTTTTTTTCGAACTACCACTACACTCAAAATACACTCAAATACTCCATTCAATTTTTTTTTAGCAGAAAACAGCTCTTCATAAAAGAAGTGATTTTGAAAAACGAAAAAAAAGCTGAAATCAAAACTTTAACAATCATCTCAAAAACAGTTCTCCTTTTGAAACGCAAATTTCATTTTCTGGTTTTCTCCCTGTAATAAATACAACCAATGCAAAAATCACATCTAAAATTAATTTTGACTACACTTCTATAAACCGACACATGTAGAGAATAAACAAATCTTCAACACTAACCCTGTAAGGAGTTGACGGATAAATTAGTTTCCCGTTCACTCCAACTATACGCTGACCAGTGCAAAGTCCAGCCCGTTCACCAATACTGCGCTTATCTACTGCACCAACAAAATGACCACCTCCTTTTTCAGCGTGCAAATTAAAACCAAATTCATTTTCTGGGTGTTGTTTTTTCTAGAAAAATTTATGAACTTTTTCGACGTCAAGCCAATTCTAAACATCGTATACAATAGGTTTTATTTGTTGAGCAATATTTAGCAAAGTTCAACAATTACACTACCAGTTTTCCAAACTCACAGTTGCTTAAAATAAAGAAATACCGAAACTGTACTGTAAAAATTCTAAGGCAAGTAAGCTACATCAAGATGCCTATTTGTTTCTCGGCCATTCTTCAATATCGGAAAATTGCAGAGTGGCACAACAAAAACTCGCACAAAAGACTATATTAACAAAAAATAATGTACTAACCAAAATGCACAATCTTGGTCGAGGCATCCCCGACATTTCTGTCCCTGAATTTGGAAATGACGACACGTTAGCAACCTTCTCGGCTTCCTAAAACCAGTTTTTTTATCAGCTGCAAAGAAGCTCCTCAATATAAGAAATATGCATACAACATGCACTATATATATTTGTATATAAATATAAATATTTATATACAAATATATACCTATTTATTTACATTTATACTTTAATTCCTATTCCTAATTCTGTTTCTATTTCCATTTATATTTATATTCACATATCATTATTCATATTCATATAATATAAATTAGATTTATATTCATATCTAAGAACAGTAAAACTAAAGACCAACTGTACATAAGTTCCACAAAGCCGACTGATACTAGCACCCAATGTTATCCAACAAAAGCATCCAACAAAAGCGTAAAATTTCAAAAAAAAAACTTCAGTATTACAGCGCGTAACCAAATGCACAGCATATGAAGTTTCAAAAAACATAAAAACAGATGCTATATTACAATATCAAAAAGAAAAACAACATTCCAGAAAAGGTGCAAATGGAAAAATCTTTTCAAACTCTACCATTAGCGTCACGGTAGAAATCCGAAAGTATATCGTTGAAAAAATCAAAGTTTCAGCAAAATATTTTGATCGCTTGAGCGCAAAAAATGCGTCTCTTAATGTCGAACAGCATAAACAAACCCAGACTTCTGCTCAAGGAGAGCAACTAGATTCAACCAATTAATCTGCATGAACAAAACTAACTCCTTTGAAACTTTTAGGCCAGGTAAAAATTGCCTTTAACAAGACTGAAAAAGTATAAAGTATTCTCTGTGATTTCGATTGTCTAAAATTTTTGACGAAGAAGTTATATACTACTACTGCCGCTGTTTTAAGGAGGGAAAAAACAGTAACAAAGAGAAATAAAAAAAAAATGATGATAATTTAAAGAACCCTTTGTACAATAATTTCATCCGTTTATGTAGCTTAAAAATTTTTGACTGTAATATACTTGTGAATCTAGTTTTTTTCCCACTCTCACTTTCGCAGGCGAATCGCCGTAGCCAACAGAACAACAAGCAAAATGTTTAAGGATGAATATGATTCCTGTGTGTGTGACTGAAACTACTTTGTCTAAACCGTTCTGTTTTCTCTAAATCTGGTCTCCAAAACAGCATTTACATTAATATTAATATTAATATTAATATTAATAATAATAGTAATATAATAATAATAATAACAATAACAACAGTAACAATAATAATAATAATAATAATAATAATAATAATAATGACAATAGTAATAATAATAAGAGTAATAACCATAATCATAAAAAACTGCAGCTAAGTCCAGCAAAAAATATATATACCACCAGTTCCGTTTTTCAAAAAAAAAGATCTGAAATGAGCTCCGAACTAAAATTGAGCAACAAAAAGACCCGTCTCCCACTTGAAGGTTACTACTCGATTAATCCCCTCAGGAAACTTTGTTCCGTCTTTCTCCCTTTTTGTTTTAACTATGCAATCTTTCGGAGAAAATTTTTTTTAGAAAAAAAAAGCTGAAATGTACAAAAAAACTGAACATATTGGGCAAAGAATCTGTAAAGACCTGTGCAATAAGCTCCGCTTCACTGCTATTCAGAACAGCGTTTTGGTACCAAACTTTAGTAAGTATAAAGTTTTTACCAGAATTTAAACTGTTGTGAATTTCAAAATAGCTTTTCCCCTCGCTTCCTAGCAAAAAATAAATTAATAACAAGGAAGATTTTTAAGTAATTAAAAATAAATAATAAAGTAAATCTTCCATAAAATAAACCAAGGAATGTTTTGAGCCAGACAAAAGTGAATGCAGTATCTAAAAAAGCAATATCTTTCCACCCCACTTCTTTGGCAAAAATTTTCTTTTTTTCATCGATTCACCTCCCTTCGAAAATTTCATACCTAAACTATTACTAATAATGTTCTTCGTCTTAGAACAGCTAATAATCAAAATTCAAATAGCTAATTTTTTATAAATAATTCAGCTGTGAAATTAACCTCAACTGCTTAACTGAAACTCTGAGTAATTTCTAGAAGCTTTCCATCAAAAAAAGAAAAGAAAAACAAAACAACGAAAAAAAAAGTAAACGGAAAAACAACAACAACAAATAATAAAAAATAAACCCTGTTCTTATGCTAAACAATTCTATTCCCCTTTCTTTAGTGATTTAAAGCCAAAAATAACTAATTTAATATGTGAATTCGAAAGCACAATAAATAAATCTTTGAAAAAAAAAAGAAAGAGGAAAAAAGGAAAAAAACAATGGGACGCATAAAAGCACTTCATATAGCGCATAGCAACCTAAAACAGGTTCTAAAAATTCGTCTTTCTTTTTCAACTTCATTTTTAAATAGAAACCTTTAGAAACCGAAACATATAAAACGATACTATTTTTTTATGCAGATATATCAAAAACAAACGAATAGACATCATATTTTTTCCATCGCTTTTTTTTTTTTTACCACTCGCAACCTAATTTCACTAGTAAAACCTTCAGCGATCAAAAAACAGAAATTTGTCGTCCATTTGGTTTGACAGATCCACTAAAAAACGCCACATCACCATTCACTAATACTTCTGCAAATAGTAATTTCTGCGCATCACCACCATCACCAACATCCTCCCTTTCTCCTCCTTCAAAAGAAAACCCTCATTTCCGACAGACAAACAAACCTGATATTAGTGTGCGCACGAACTCTATACTATTATCTTCTGCAAACAAATTCTATTAAATGCTACAGAGCCAAAAATATGATTGTTCAATCAAGCAATAAATCTACCAAACAACCACCCAATTTTATCACCATTCATCAACCGCCTTCTATCCCAACCTTCCCCCTTCTCCTCCAACCCTATACCTCATTCTACACCTACTCTTACCAACTTTTTCTACTTTCCGAAAAACACCATACAAAACAGTTAGGCAATAAGTTTGACAAGAACTAATAAAAATAAGAAAGAAAATGATGACAGCAGCACCAGCAACTGCATCACTTTACTACTGTCACCACTACTATCATCACCGGTGACTAAAAACAACAACTGAAACAACAACAAACAACAACAAAGAAGAATTTCAGACGGAAAACCCTTTTGATACAAAACTTTCCAAT